GGTCTAGGCATGCAAAACATGAGCCCCCCCCCCCCGCCCCCCCTCAATCACCGGCGTGTGTTCCCCGTGATCAGGTGAACGACGCCGTGGATAGCACGCTGCGCCTCTATCAGGATGTCGTCGATGGCGTTAAGTCGGTCCCGCTCTTGCCGCCCTCCAGGTGAGCCATCCGTGGCACGGCGATGGTGCGGCGGAACCGCTGTCTGTTGGAACCAACGCCGTGAGAGCCTGCCTGATAATTATACTGGGGCTTCTTCGCCTTGGCAACCTCTACATTATCTTCGGGGTAGATAGAACACTTCCGTTTGGGGAGGGGGTCATCGTATTCTTTTGTCCAGGTGTCAATCAATGTCTTGGTCTTCCGTTGTTGACCCACGCGGCGAGCCGGCCAAGGGTGGGTCTTATCCCCCGAGATTCCCAAATCTAGAATCGAATTCGATTGCGAATCCGCGGTCGATTTTAGGTTTCAAGTTTGCTCTACTCGACAACCATGACAATCCATCGAAATCGAAAGTTGAAAACAACATGGATGATACGAAAAAGGCCTGGACGTGGCCGTTGCAACAGTTCATACCATGACCGTTAGAGCCGCAGGGCTGCCTCTTTTGGTATACCCAACACTAAATCCCAGACAGGGAACGACAGTTCCTGGTGGTGGCTGTGGTCAGGCGGGTTGGGAAAGCTTGGTCTCGCACCGATACGTTGCGAACTCAGCGAGCACTGTGCTATTGAACACTCCGGTCTGATGCAGGAAAGCCGAGAACGATGCCGTTGGCAAAGAAAGAAGTTCACGGTGATGACTCTCCCTCTCTCAATTTAGAGCAGATCTCTCTCAACCAAGGCGTTATGTGCTCGGCTGAGTGCCAGCTTCATGCCAACTCATTGCTTGCATCACGGTGCGGGCTGTGGTGGCTAGATGAGTACAGTAGCGAAACGAAGGCATCTCCGACTTTTAGAGAGTCTTTCAAGCAGCTAGCTGGCAAGAAACTTGATGCTCCCGTTCACGCGTTCGATTTTCGATTTTGATCATTTCAGTTTGTCGCTTTGATTATTCCAACCCGCTTCGGTTTCGGAACATTATCCTTCATGTCGATAATCCGGTGGCGGATTAAGGGTCCGCTGTCCAACAATCAGTGGCATTTCCGATTGCCCATCTTCGATTTCCGATTTTCGATGGAACACTGCGGTGACAAGACCCACCCTCAAAGCCAACGCCCTCGATTGGATTGAATCCCTTCCCCCCCCTCCCGGAGTTCAGGCTCTTGATCGCTTTGACCGCATTTTTTTTACCTGCAACCGTTCTACTGAATGAGGCACCGCGGCGTGCAAGCAAACATACATCACATAGCCGAGGAACAGCGGCAACAATCTGCCATTCCCTCAGTCATGCCTCTTGCGGCCGATCTAACATGCCCGCCGAGAGATCCAAAATAGATGGGAAGTAATGCACACAATACACAACCTACGCTGTTTCCATCACGTAGCTGGACGAAATACGTGTTGACGTCGCCTGCAGCGCAGCACCTTTGCCAAAAATCCAAAATAGATGAGACGAAAAAAACACACACACACACACAAACGAGTTCCACAGGTTAAAAAGCAACTGTCCCGAAGCAAAAACTGCCCCAGACAATTGTTTGGGTTAACAGCGTAAACAAGCCCTCAGCGTACGTTCCTGCCATGTCGACCTCACCGCGCAACCATTTCCTCCTCCTCCTCCTCCTCCTCCTCCCGTACTTCCCCCCCCGCCATTCCGTCGACGTTCCTTTCTGCCCTCGCGACTTACTCCCCGTGCGCGCTCAGCTACTCCTCCAACATCGGCGCGATCTCCGGAAGGATGGAAGGCCTCTCGATTGGGCAGGTTGCGGGGGCAAGGTAAGAGCTTGGCGTGCTGCTGCCAGGGTGTCTGTCTGTCCCTACCGGCAGCACTCTTTTTGTGTCTAGATAGCGAAGGAAAGTCCTGTACGGTTGAGCAAACCTCACGCGGTGCGATTTTTGTTCAGGTAACGCCGCAGTCGTGGGCGACGGGTTAAATCTCTTGGCTGAGGTACGTATAAATTTTTCAAGTTGTTTTGTTCATACTCAGGACACACGGACTGGCGTGCTCGGTGTTCCCCCCACCCCCCCCCGCCGCCGCCGCCGCCGCCGTCATGTTTCCCGTCCCATTAGTGCCCTTGTGCCGTACGCTCTTGGGCCTGTTCTCAAGCGTCCTTCCCGTCCGGTTACTTCAACATTTTTGCCCTCTTACGTTATGTTTCGGCCCAAAAAACGCCTCCTTGTATCTTCTGCCTCTCTTAAAGAGCCGCGGCCTCGAAGTTGAAGAAGACGGCGGCGGTGCCAACCCTGTCGCCCCCCCCCTCCGACCGAAAGCGGGGGGGAGGGGACACCACGGGGTCCCCCGGCAAGACGGCGCCCGCCGCCGCCGCCGGCGGCGGTGGGGACACGGTTGACCTCTTGAGCGGGTTCGAGCTAGACGGGGCCAGCAACAGCAACGTCAACAAGACCGCGGCTGCTGCGGCAGCAGCGGCCGTGGCGGCTCCGGCGGCTGCGGATATTTTCGCCGGCTTCGGGGCTCCTCCTCCGGCTGCCACCGCCGGCGGTGCAACCGGCGGGGATTGGGTCGTGGTCGGAGGAGGTGGGGATGTTCAAGCGCAGGGATACCCTGGTGCTGCTGCCGGAGTAGCCGGGGGGGGGGCAGCGAATGGTGAGAGGCAGAAGGAGAAGAGGCTGGAGTTGGAAGCCTTTTGGTGTGGGAGGGGGGTTCCGCATGGGGGTACGTGTGGGGGTTCCGCCTGAGGATCGAAATGGCGACAGACAGGACAGAACCTGTCTTTTGTAGTTCTTGCGGAGGGCACGTGCTGCCGCTTGCGTGAAGCTCATCGGTTCCCCCCACCGCTCCTCACCCTTACTAATAACGATCGGCTGGTAATCATTGGGGTGAGAGCACGTACCTCATGCATTTTTCGTGTAGGACTACGGATCTCCCTCCCCGACCCCCCTCTAATTTCCTGCAGCTTGGAACTTGGACGTTTTTCCCGCCTTGCGCACGCCTTTAACTGACCACGTAGCCTGAACTTTTCATGCACATGTGCGCAATTTCGGGCATGTTTCTGTGTTGGGGGACCCGCTCCTCCCTCCACCCGAACCAGCCCAACGAATCGTTGTTTTCGATGGCGCCATGACTTTTTGTCGAATTTCAGACGGGCAGGTGGCGTTGAATAGCAACCCGGTGATACCACCCGGCGGTGCCGCTACCATCCCTCCCACGGCCGCCCCCACCACCCCTGCGGTCCCCCCCTCGGCTGCCGACAAAGCCCAAAGCCTGATGGCCAACCTCGGGGCACTGTACGCAGTGGGAGCGCCACCAACGACAACAACGAACAGCATTGGTGGCATGTCGGCAGCCGGGCCTATGGCAGCATGCAGCATGTCGGCAGCCGGGCCTATGGCAGCGGGCAATAGCGGTGGTATTCAAGGCCTTGATGGGGTTGGCGTTCCTGCCACGGGGGGGGCGTGGGTCGTGGGGGGGGGCAGCAACCCGGCGGAAGGGGGGGCCGTGGCGGCGTTTGGTGGTGGGCAGGGGGCGGCAGGGCCGCCGGGGGGATGGGCAGGCGTTGCTGGAGAGAACAGCAGCGGCAGCGGGATGCAGGCGCAGGTGGGTGTGCAGGGGTGGCATACGGGTTGGGGGGAATTACGTAGCTGCTTGTCTAGGAAAAAGGGATGGTGTTACACACGATATGAAGTGTTTGTCGTCCGTGCTGTTCTCTTGGTAGAAAAGATGTGTACGATCAAGATGCGATAACGTGTGGGAAACAATTATTTTGTTCGTGGATTTCATGAGGAACAGCTAGAATACTGGAGTACCAGCAGCCTGGAGAGTGAAACGAAAGCTCGCGAACCGACGAGAAGCAGTCGACACGCACACGCCCGTCTGCTGGTTGGTGTTTAGCCTGTTATACCACAGGCGAATTGCCACTGCATTTCACGCAATGACACAGGTGGAAAGCGCAGCTACGTAACCCGTTTTCCACTGCTGTGGGTCAACCAACCCATCATGAGGTCATCTCTGGATCTTTTTTTGTTTCTGGTGCTTTGCGGGATGGTCAATTTTTGTTGCTGTTAGAAGAAAACGACAGCTAGGGCCTGTGTTTTTGGAGGGCCCCACGTCTGTCTTATCAACTACGAAATACTTGCCTTGGGTCCGGTTGGGATCTGGTGTTACCACCACGAACACGATGGCGTTTGGTATGGCGCTACAGCAGTGGTCATCCCGATACAGTGCCGATACTCAGCACGGATAGTAGAAGGTACTGAGTGGACACCGGAATATCTTGTTTACATGTGCCAACAACTACTACTACTACAACCACGTGTCACCCCGTTTTAACCGGCATGGTACCAGGTACCCTGCATTGTTCAGAGTATGAGAGACAAGTTGAATATTCCGTCTGTGCCACGCCGATTCCACCGGCAGTACCGGGTACCCGGCATTTTTTATCCAGCACTACTTTGTCGGTACCACTGCTGTATTTGTGGACAACCCCAGCATCAAGTCAACTCCCTTGCCTCTCTTGATGTTGTCTACGTTTCACGCACACCAGGTGACATCATCCCCTCTGGACGCCTTGGATCCGTTCTCGGCCCAGCAGCAGCTTCCGTACCAGCAGCAGCAGCAGCAGCAGCCCCCGCAACAACAATTTCAACCGCAAATGCAGACGCTTTACCAGGGGCAGCAGCAGCAGCAGCAACCGTGCACTGGGCCGACGACGGTGGGTCATGGTGATGGTGCCACATCTGGCGCGCTGAATGTTTTGGTCACTTCTCTTGTTCTGCTCAATGTTATGGCTTGTGACAGGAACGGTGCCGAACACCGTGTTTGCGCCCATGAGTTTCAGCCGTTCGAACAAGCCTGTGTTTTCAACGATGCCTGGGGGAATTGACGCTGTTGCCGCTGCTGCTGCTAACCGCTGTTGTGCCTTGCTGTTGCTGTCCTATTGAGCAGCAGCAGGAGCAGCCGCCACCGCCACCGCAAGTACAGGGGCAGGATCAACAGCAGCATGTATACGCATTCCAGCAACAGCAGCAGCCTCAATATGCGGAGCAACAACAGCAACAACCGCTGCAACAGCAACAGCAGCAGCCTCAAGCGCAGCAGCCGTTCCCATAGCGGACTCCCGGTCGGTGTTTATCTGGTGCTGTGCCTGTTTGACTTCGTCAGACGGCGTCGACTGATTGGCCCGACAGGATTGTAAATTGTTCAGCTCCATGGGCTTGGTGCGATGGATCCCACGCCCTCCTTCTGTCGGTCTGTTACAAGTGTCATTCGATATCCGTCGTCGTGCCCCCTGATCGAATCTGTTGTGTACTGCTTGGTGCCAAGCCTTGCTTGTGTGAACATACCGCGCCACCTCTTTTTGAGAGCTTGGGAAGTTGGTTGAAGCCGTAAAGGCTCGCAAACAAGAAACACGTCAGTGCTCGACCATTAGAACAGGTGCGCAGTGAAGACCCGTAATCTTTAGAACCTGGGAGTGGATTGATTTGATGACCTACGGCACGAAATGAGGGATCAAATGCACTCGATTTCAATACCAGGTACTCAGTTGAGAATCTGAGCTTTGTTTGTTTCTCCAAAGAGGAAATATGAAGAACCGTGCCTCGGGCTAAGAAGTTTCATCATTTGGTGGCGCTACCTACATGTTTTTTTTCCATTTGGTGCGGCAGTGGTAGCAAGAGAAACAGGAGCCCCCTCCCCCCTGGTGATTACCATCGGGGATGGGTTTTCGTCGCTTGGCAACGACGTTGTAAAACAAGCCAATTCACTTCGTGAGCTCGGCAACCAGGATACCTTTATTTTGTTTACCTAAGTTTTTTTTTTGGCGGTAACCATAGTCTAATGGTGGTCGAGTGGATCATGTTGTGCGGGGTGGAGAAGCCTCACTCCGCGCAAGGGGGATGATCGCACCACGTTGTTTTAGTCAAGCACCCTCGAAGCAGTTACACAGTGCTTATAACTGTCTCTGGAAGTGAAAGCACCAGAAAACAAATTAAGTCATACGCAGCTGTCATCCGTACGCAAGGAAGTAAGCACAGGATGCCGAACACCCTTATATTAGCAGGATGCAGCGCACCCTTCATCCGACTCGCCGAATATCTCACGGCNTTTAGTCAAGCACCCTCGAAGCAGTTACACAGTGCTTATAACTGTCTCTGGAAGTGAAAGCACCAGACAAGTACTCAAGTCATACGCAGCTGTCATCCGTACGCAAGGAAGTAAGCACAAGATGCCGAAAACCCTTAGCAGGATGCAGCGCACCCTTCATGCGACTCGCCGAATATCTCACGGCGCTTCGCGCTTGGTGATGTGAGAGCCTGGTCCGGTGAGAACCCGGCGTGCTCCGTCCCGGCTTTGTAGGGATGCGAGGTCAATGGTCTAACGACTACGGCATGCACGACTATGAGCACACACACACACACAAAGGTGGAGGAGGAAAACTCAAGACTAATGGTAGCGAAAACAAGGAGGCTAGACTAACGGTGAAAGTGCTCCTAAACGAACTCGACAAGGTAGTAAGTAGCCTTGGTAGACAAGTGCAGTTTTCTTCTGTTGCTGCTTTGTCTGTCTTTGATCAAGGATAGTTTAGCCTCCCCCACGCTGCCCCCTCACGGGGTCCCAGCCCATGGCAGATAAAAGTGTTTAGACTAGTGTTTTCAACCGCACTGAGACTGACGTCTTTTCATTGGTCAGCCGGTTAGCCCGGTCGATGCTAATAATATAAACTTGCAAGAAAGGACATGCAGTGTGGATGAGTTCTTACAGAAAATCCCGAGAAAATAAATTTTAAAAACTTGAAACATCAAAACTAGGACACTTAACAGTAGAGTAATGGATGATGGATAAAAACGGCAACGAGTTGCCTAATTATCCATTAGCAAGGGGGAACACAGTGACCCGTGTCCCTTGCTAAATATCATTGCTGCGTTGCTGCATGCAACCGAATTCTTCTAATCTCGGACCACAAATGACGTCACATGACCAGGTGAAAATACAACACCTCGATGGCCTCCAAATCTGCAGTTGAGCCCATGGTCGGGAAGCCCCTTTCGCACATTCCCAGTTTGATCCCTACCACAAGCCTCCCATTGTGTTCAGAGCAGCCGGCATTCGGATCCCCCTGTTAATAGTTTCCTTGTATTCTAACCCCCGTTTCTCTTCCTGTACGGTCGTTCTACCTGCCACGTGGTACAAAAAGTTCGCCCTTCAGATTTTCACCCGACCAATAGCCATGTTTTAATTCTCTCCGTCTCCCATGGACACATAAACATTGTGTTGTGTGGAGCAAAGATAGATACCCCGGCTAAATGGTGGGCTTGTTGTGTGACGCTAGCTAGATTTTTTGGCGAGGGCAACTTCAGGAGGCCATTTCTTGACTGCAATTTTGGCATTGGGATCCAGTCGCTACGATGTTTGTAGTCTAGTGAACTAATAGACGTAGACTACACAATACAACGTACACGACTTCTCTGGTGATTGAATGTATTGACGCTGGATATGCATGCACCCACGGTATTTCCGGAAACTGTTTTCTCGCGACGGGTGACGAGGCGTGTTCTTGAGAAGAGGCCACCCCAACCCCGGGGACAATTGTATTCTCAGGATTGGTTTGTGGATGATGGAAGTTGCTATGCTCCAATCGCCGTGACGTTGCGGAAAGTCAGAAGTTGCTCTGCTCCGCGTACACAAGCGGAGTACCGTCACTCCTGAGTGGGGTGTAGATGCAGCACAGCACTTGGAAGAACCCCTTGAGAATGGAGGATCAGCAGTGTTCGGATTCTTGTCTACGAATAGCAGATTCGTGAAGCAGCAGCTGGCGGAGGCTCCTTGAGCCTCTTCTCTTCAATCAAGTAGTTTCTTGAGTGTTCCACCAGGGGATGAGCAATGTTCGAGCGGTTTTCGGAACAACAAGGATGCATGGACACCCGTGGAAATCCCTCGCGAGTGACAGCGGATTTGTTTGCAGACGTGTCAGTAGGCAAGGAAGGCGACGAGTACAGCCAAGCGGTACACCAGCTTGAGCGTGACCGTCACGGTCATCGTGGGCTACTGTACAATGGTTAAGAGGTGCTGTTGCAGTTGCTATAATTCGTTTTCAGTTTGTTTTAGATGAGACAAGACCTCCGTGTTATTCCGAACGCGCGGTTTTCGACTTTGAAACATTGACGAAAGGGGTTTTCAATTCCTCCGCGAACCGGATTTCTTTCAACAGGACGCACGTTTTTTTTTTTTTTTTCTCCCATCATTGGACTCTGTCGTCTGCGCCTCTGGCCCCTATCCTCCACTTCTACTAGCTAGACGACCCAACCGGGGTCACATAGGAGGGGGGGGTTGGACCCCCTCCTGCGGTTCATGCCTGAGGTATTTTTATCGCGAGAAGGGTACAGGACGTGTAGGCCGTTGATTGTGGTCGTCTTGACAGTAGCACCTCCCGACTGTACGGACCCAAAATGTGGGTTGTCTGTCTCATTTACGTGTATGTGTCTCTCCGTTTAGGCCCATCCAAAGAAAGACAAGTTCCGTAGTCACAGACCGGCAGAGCGAAGTGCCGAGGATGGAGGAAGCAAATCGCCAAAGGCACGTTTAATTGCCCCAAACCTTGAGATCAGAAGGGCGGGGGCGTGCCCATGATTTTCTGCATTGGCTACTAGACCATTGAAAAGATGAGGAGGAACTAAATACTTCATGACTACGAACAAGCACCACCCTCGTCATCGGCTTCTCTCAATCTAATCGTCCTAAGCGCCAATGTGTACCCAGCCGGTTTCCCTCCATTTCCTGCAAAGACTCCACCAACACACCCCCTTCGACTGTGGATATATCTCGAACGACATGTCTTTCTGTGTTTGTATTTATTTTTCCGACCAACAATATAGCGCGGGTGCAAGCAATAACCTGAGATGACGCGCGCGCGAAGTCTCCCGCAACACCGCATGGGTTTCCAAAAGTCAAGAGGATTAATTCCTGGCGGAATTGGTCATTACCGCCTCACGTCCTATCTTTCCTGCCTCCCCCTCTGGATCCTGTACAACTCTCCCACACCTCCCTCTCCATGTACAAAGCGCCCCTCCAACGGTTATGAACAGGCCGCACGCGCTACCGCTCGCCACACACTGGCATCCCACTTCCGCAATCAGATAATGAGGCGACGTGTGCCTCCGCAGAGCCGCCAACAATGACCGTACGTGGCCGGCATTGCTGTGCTGCTGCTGCTGCCACCGACGCGATGCCAAATTCACAACATGCGCCGCAGCACCGCCAAAAATCAGAACATGAGGTCATGTGTCCGGCAGTGCGCTGCTGCTGCTACTGCTGCTGCTGCCGCGATGTCTCTGCAGCCGGCCCATGATCTCGCCCCAGAAGTGTCCAGGCTGGTCGGGGTGATTCTGGCTTTCCAGCACGCTCTCTAGATCGCACGCCGCAAGCTCCCACGCGCCCGCAAGCACCTCCGCCTCCAGCTGCCCTGGGCCCCACCCTGAATATCTCGAAAAAAACTGACGGTGGGGAGGGGGGGGTGTACTCTTAATCGCGCATGCCGAAGTCATTGGACCACTGACCTCGCATCCCTACAAAGCCGGGAAGGAGCACGGCGGGTTCTCACCGGACCAGGCTCTCACATCACCAAGCGCGAAGCACCGTGAGGTATTCGGTGTGTCGCATGAAGGGTGCGCTACATCCTGCCAAGGGTGTTCGGCATCTTGTACATGCTTCCTTGCGCAGGGATGCCAGCTGCGTATGACATGATTTATTTTCTGGTGCTTCACTTCCAGAGACAGTTATTAACACTGCGTAACTGCCGCGAGGGTGCTTGACCAATGTAACACAACGTGGTGCGAGCATTCCCTTTGGCGCGGAGTGAGGGTTCTCGACCCTCACAACATAATCTGCTCGGGCACGGGGTAAAATCATGTAAACGCATGCCGTAGTCGTTACACCATTGACCTTGCATCCCTTGGGCGTCCTCCTTTGTTTTGAATGCCTTAGCTGTTAGACCGTTGACCACGCGTCCTCGAGAAGACGGAGCATTGTTCCCACAGGACCGATCACCGATGGCCAATTGTTCCTTCTTCTAGCCCTAGGACTATTAATAGCCATAACAGTGACCCCCGAAGACGGTGTATTGTAAAAGTAGGCGCCACACAGGGACAAAGTAAGCGCATTCCTGTATGCCACAGAGTAACCCTTTTCCTCGCTTGTCACGCAAAGCAGCGAGAGAGAGGGCGGGCGGGCGGGCGGGCGGGCGGGCGGCGTGAAATCAGAAATTACGGCGGGGGGG